GGAGGAGGAGGAGGAGGAGGAAGGAGGAAGAGGATGATGATGCTGCTGCTGATGATGATGATGCTGATGATGACAATGACGGTGCTGATGGTGCTGATGGTGCTGACGGTGATGTTGCTGCTGCTGTTGATGATGATGATGATGATGATGATGATGATGATGTTGTTGATCATGGTGATGATGATGCTGATGATGATGATGATGGTGGCGACGCCGATGATGCTTATTATGCTGATGATGACGATGATGATGCTGCTGATGATGATGATGTTGATGCTGGTGCTGATGATGATGCTGATGATGTTGTTGTTGATGATGATGGTGATCATGCTGATGATGGTGATGATGATGATGATGGTGATGATGATGATGCTGATGCTGCTGATGATGATGCTGATGATGATGATGATGCTGATGATGATGATGATGAAGATGATGATGATGATGATGATGATGATGATGATGATGATGCTGCTGCTGATGATGATGACGATGATGATGATGATGATGATGATGATGATGATGATGATGATGATGATGATGATGATGATGATGATGATGATGATGATGATGATGATGATGATGATGGATGATGATGATGATGCTGATGATGATGTGATGATGATGCTGATGATGATGCTGATGCTGATGATGATGCTGATGCTGATGCTGATGATGATGATGATGCTGATGATGATGCTGATGATGCTGATGATGATGCTGATGATGCTGTGATGATGATGCTGATGATGATGATGATGCTGATGATGATGATGATGGATGATGATGATGATGATGATGATGATGATGATGATGATGATGATGATGCTGATGATGATGATGATGATGATTATGATGATGAGGATGAGGATGAGGATGAGGATGAGGATGATGGATGATGATGATGATGATGATGATGATGATGATGATGATGATGATGATGATGATGATGATGATGATGATGATGATGATGATGATGATGATGATGATGATGATGGATGATGATGATGATGCTGATGATGATGCTGAGGAGGAGGAGGAGGAGAGGAGGAGGAGGAGGAGGAGGAGGAGGGAGGAGGTGGGAGGAGGGAGGAGGGAGGAGGGGGAGGGAGGAGGGAGGGGGGAAGGGAGGGAGGGAGGAGGGGTGAGGGAGGGAGGGAGGGGAGAGGAGGAGGAGGAGGAGGAGGAGGAGGAGGAGGAGGAGGAGGAGGATGGAGGACCAGGAGGAGGCGGCTGAGGAGGAGGAAGATGATGAGGAGGAGGAGGAGGTTGTGGAAGAGGAGGAGGAGGAGGAGGAATAAGTCTAAGAAGTCAACTGATACGCATACTAATACTAAGACGAATACTACTAATACACATACGACGAATATTTTTGAAGACGAAGAAGAAGACGACTGCGAACAATAGTACCACGACGAAGAATACGAATACTAATGATGACCATACTGAGAATACGAACACGAATCATAAACTATAGGAACGCGAAGGATCATGCTATTAAGACTAACACGACGACGGATAAGATACATCACATTCATACGAACACTTTTAATAATAACACCACGACGAATACGAATACCAATGATAATTATATTACGAATACTAAGAATACTATTGCGAATAATATTTGTAAGGCGAATAATAAGAATATGCTGATGATGAGGAGGAGGAATAGGAGGAGGACGAGGAGGACGAGGCGGCGGGCGGCGGACGAGGAAGAGGAGGAACAAACGGAAGTGTGATGAGGAGGAGGCGGATGAGGAGGAGGAAGGCGAGGAGGAGGACGAGGAGGAGGAGGAGGAGGAGGAGGAGGAGGAGGAGGAGGAGGAGGAGGAAGAGGTGAGGGAGGAGGAGGAGGAGGAGGAGGAGGAGGCGGAGGAGGAGGAGGAGGAGGAGGAGGAGAGGAGGAGGAGGAGGAGGAGGAGGAGGAGGCGGAGGAGGAGGAGGAGGGGGAGGGGGGGGGGGAGGATGCTGAGGAGGAGGATGAGGAGGATTGATCGGGGGAGGAGGAGGAGGATAAGGAGGAGGAGAAGGAATATGAGGAGGATGGATCGGGGGAGGAGGCGGAGGCGGAGGTGGAGGGGGAGGGGGAGGAGGAGGAGGAGGAGGAGGAGGAGGAGGAGAGGAGGAGGAGGAGGAGGAGGAGGAGTAGGAGGTAGGGGAAGGAGGAGGAGGCGGAGGAGGAGGCGGAGGATGAGGAGGGGGAGGGGATGGAGCAAGATAGGGGGAGGATGGGGGAGGAGGAGGGATGGCGGGGGAAGGTGTCGGAGGGTGGCGGAGGATGGAGGATGATGATGGGGCGGGTGGGGTGGGTGGTGGTGGGGTGGAGGAGGAGGGATGAGGATGGAGGAGGATGGGGGAGGATGGATGAGGAGGAACGGGGGGAGGAGGAGGATGGAGGAGGATGATGGAGGAGGAGGAGGAGGAGGAGGAGGAGGATAAGGAGGAAGAGGATGATGCGGAGGAGAAGGGGGGGGCGAGGAGGAGGAGGATGAGGAGGTGGAGGAGGAGGGGGAGGAGGAGGATTGAGGAGGTGGAGGAGGGGTAGGCGGATGATGCTGATGATGGTGAGGAGGAGGAAGACGAGAAGGATGATGAGGAGGAGAAGGATGAGGAGGATGAAGAGGAGGAGACGGAGGAGGAGGAGGAGCAGGGCGAGGATGATGGACAATGGTGGAGGAGGATGGAGGAGGTTTGGGGAGGACGGATGAGGAGGACGGATGAGGAGGAGGAGGAGGAGGAGGAGGAGGAGGAGGAGGAGGAGGAGGAGGAGGGAGGAGGAGGAGGAGGAGGAGGAGGATGGATGACGATGGAGGAGGATGATGGAGGGGGATGGATGAGGATGGGTGGGTGGTGGGGGACCATGGGGGAGTATGAGAAAACTGGAGGAAGATGGTGGAGGATGGAGGAGTATGGATAAGGGTGGAGGAGGGTGGATGAGGATGTAGGCGCATGGAGGGGAACGGAGGGGAATGGAGACGGATGAAGGAGGATGGGGGAGGATGGGGGGGATTGAGGAGGATGCAGGAGGATGGGGGAGGATGGAGGAAGATGGGGGATGGAGGAGGATGGAGGAGGATGAGGAGGATGAGGGGGATGAGGAGGAGGAGGAGGAGGAGGAGGACGAGCAGGACGCGGAGGAAGTGGAGGAGGAGACTGAGGAGGGTCGAGGAGGAGGATGGAGGCGGAGGAGGAGTATAAGGCGGACGTCGGCGATGATGTTGATGACGCTGATGATGCTGATGCTGGTGCTGCTGCTGATGCTGGTGCTGGTGACGATGATGATGCTGACGGTGGTGGTGATGATGATGATGAGGATGATGATGAGGATGACGATGATGATGATGATGATGATGATGATGATGATGATGATGATGATGCTGATGATGATGATGATGATGATCATGATGATGATGGTGATGGTGATGATGATGATGATGATGCTGATGATGATGATGCTGATGTGGTTGATGAGGATGATGCTGATGATGATGTTCATGCTGCTGGTGCTGCTGATGATATTGATGCTATTGCTGATGATGCTGTTGATGGTGGTGGTGATGATGCGGATGCTGAGGATGACCTTGCTGCTTCTGCTGATGATGATGATGCTGCTGCTGCTGATGATGATTATGATTATGATGATGATGATGATGATGATGATGATGATGATGATGATGATGATGATGATGATGATGATGATGATGATGATGATGATGATGATGATCATGACGAGGAGGCGGATGATGAGGAGGATGAGGAGCATAAGGAGGAGGAGCAGGAGGAGGAGGACGATGTATGAGGATGGAGGGGGATGGAGGAGGATGGAGGAGGATGGGGGCGGGGGGGATGGCGGAGAATGGCGGAGGATGGAGGACGTTGAGGAAGGATGGGGGATGATGGGGAAGGAGGGGGGTGGAGGAGGATGGAGGAGGGTGGAGAAGGATGGGGGAGGATTGGGGAGGATGGAAAAGGATGGAGGAAGCTGGGGGAAGATGGAGGAGGATGGAGGCGAGTGGAGGGGGATCGGGGGGGGGGGGGGCGGGGATGGAGGAGGATGGAGGGGTATGGGGATGATGGAGGAGGATGGAGGGTGATGGAGGAGGACGGAGGATGAAGGAAGAGGGGGAGGAAGGTGAAGGCAGGAGGAGGAGGAGACGGAAGAGGAGGAGGAAGAGGAGGCTTCGGAGGAGGAGGAGGAGGGGGAGGGGAGGAGGAGGAGGGGGATGAGTACGAATATTATTAGTACGGCGAGCAAGAAAAACGAAGGGCAACATTCAGGCTAAAACAATGGTATGAAGAAGCAGTAGCCATGTTAAGCACACTAGGGCACACATTAATGCGATCACTAACCACAATAATCATACTAATGAGATGGAGAGTATTCATACCAATGATAAGACACCGGCGACGCAGACTAATAATGGCACGCCCACGGCGACTAATACTAATCATACAACGAAGACGACGGCTAATGACACTCTGAATGCGCATCATATGTTCGACGAGCGCCACTAACATAGCATATATATATGAATGCACATGGTAATAATTATGCACAGTTACAGCGTAAGCAGGATTCAGAAGTCGACGAATGATGCTAACAAGCATTCTCTTACTAGTTAGAGTAATAATAATAACCATCAGAAGACTACTACTGGTTCTGAGAGTACATTTTCTTTCTTTGGGACAAATGAGAATACGGAGACGAATTAGTAGAGTATTGTTAATAGTAAGAAGAACAATACTACGAACACGCAATACGAGAAGGAGGAGAAGGAGGAGGAGGAGGAGGAGGACGATAATGATAAGGAGGAGGAGGAGGAGGAGGAGGAGGAGGAGGAGGAGGAGGACGAGTAAGAGGAGGAGGAGGAAGGAGGATGATGATGATGATGAGGAGGAGGAGGTGCCAGGAGGAGGTGCCAGGAGGAGGTGCCAGGAGGAGGTTCCAGGAGGAGGAGGAGTATGAGGAAGCGGAGCCCCCCTCCGCCCTTCCTAAGGCCGCGCCCGAAGGCGCGTCCGCCGCGCCTGGCAGTGCCGCCGCCGCGAGGGTGGGCGGCTCCAAGGTTGGAGGGCATCCGCTGTGCACCTGCACCGATCCTGGCAAGGCCTATCCAGCCACGCGCTAGACCATCGGCGCCGACTGGGGGCCGCCATGGGGGGGACGGACGGCGCGGGGCGGCACGCCCCGACGGGGAGACCGCACAGCGCTGAGTGTTTTGCGCAATGGCTGCTGCGGGGTGGTTCGCATGATAATGGGCCCGCCAATGTGCAGAGGGGGGTAGGGGGGGGGCCCTGCTTCTGAAAACCTTCCCCCCTCCCCCTTACCCCACTCTTCGCGCCGTCAACCGATACTGGGCCCACGATTCCTTGAGATCCAGGCGTGCCACTGTTTTGCCACACGGGGCGTTTTCGCCCGATTTCGGGCCGTGCGGCCATCACGGGTCGATCTGGCTCGAAAGGTGCAGCAGGATGGGGTCTAGGGCTCGTTTTTTTGGGGGGGGTTCTATTTTTTGTGCTTGGTTGCGACGTTGCAATTTTTAGCAACGTCGCGTTTCTGCCCAAGCCAGGAGAGCGCGTACACATGTCCAGTGCCCAGGGGTGAGCCTGGCCACGATCGGTGTAGGTGTGTGTAGTTGGTGTCTTCCTACAAGGGCAGTGGCGCCGCAGGGGCTGACGCGGGGGACGGCGGCGGCGACGACGACGACGCGGACGACGAGGACTGGGGGGACGGAGAGGGTCAGGGGAGGAACATATAGCTGGCGATATCGATGCCGCCGTCACCACGTCTGCATTCGCTTCGAAGTCCTGGCTCACCCCAGGAGAGGTCCGTGGGGGTTTCGGGGCTGCCTGGATCGCCCTGAACGGCCGCCCGAGGCCCGAGGCATGACCCGACAGCCGGGCATCCGACGAGGGTTGGGGAGGGACGCGTGCAGCTGGCACGATTGTTGAGAGCAGCCCCGGCCTTGAAGGGGTACCCGTGTCTTCTTCGTGCCTGGGCCCTCCCGCTGGAGTGTTCCCCGCTTCGGATATCTCCACGGGGCCCTGGGACGTCGGCGATGGGGGTCATGTTCTTGACCCGCGTTCTTGTGTCCAGGTTGCGACTGGCGATGCCGGGGCCCTTCCCTTGTCGCCACGGCTGGATTCGTCTCGGGTGAACTTTCTGAAGGATTATTGGCAGTGAGAGGGCCGTCTGGAGCGGCAGCAGGCCAAACAAAAACCAGGCCGCCCAAATCCGTGAAGCACCTTTTGAAAGCAATGATTTCGGTCGCTTCGGGTCCGACTATTAGATGGTGATTCACGGAAGCTTCCGCTCGTCTTGGATTGAATGTGTATCCAGTAGCGCTCAATACCGCCAAATAGCGCCCAGTAGCGCTCAAATGTGCCGAATAGCGACCAACACAGCCAAATAGCGGCATGTGAGGGAGATGCATTTTGTCCGCTTTGCGCGCGACTGGGCGCGGTATTGGGCGCCATGGGGACGACCAATAGAGAAGCGTCCGCGAGTTGCTTTCTAAGACTGGGAGTCCTGTCATCGCCCTCTCGGGCCGTATTGGGTACATCTTGGGCCATCTTGGCGGCTGTGGCTGCCTGACTGGGCCTTCCTTGAAGCTCGGGAGTGCGGATCCATTGTCTTTTGCAAGGGATCATGGCCTCGGGAGGGGGAGAGACGGTGCATGCCCATGGAGGCGACGAGACGGATGGGGGGGAGCCTTTAGAACCCCCACCAGACCCTTGGCATTCTACCGCGCCTCAACGTGCCAGGGGGTACGGTGTTTTCGGCTCCCTACAGGACGCCGACGAGGGCGCGGACCAGGAGCCGTGATGCTCGCTCGAAAGCCTCGCTGGAAGATGGCGATGATGAGGGGGCGGAGAAGGATGAGCACGATGGTGGTTGGTCAGGCGGTGGCGTTTTTTGTTGATGGTTTTGCTGTGGTTGAGTGTGGAGGATGACGATGAGGATTAGGAATAAGATGCGGAGGAAGCAAGCGAACCACACGTTGGCACGATCGCGCCAGCTGGAACGACGAGAAGGATGCGGATGCGGATCATGAGGATTGGGGCAGCGGCATCGCGAGTCGTCCTTCCCGCTCCTCTCATGTCATCTTCCCCGTCCTCTTACTCCTGGCTCCTTGCTCCTCGCCTCTCCTCATCCTCTTCCCTCACATTCTCTTTTCTTCTCAGCCACTGCGCGTGCCGCGGCGTCCAAGCCAGCTCTCCTCCTCCTCCTCCTCCTCCTCCTCCTCCTCCTCCTCCTCCTCCTCCTCCTCCTCCTCCTCCCCCCTCCCTCCTCATTATTTCCGTCCTCGTGCTCCTCCTCCCCCCCACCTCCCTCCTCCTCCTCCTCCTCCTCCTCCCACCTCCTCCTCTCCCTTCTCCTGGTGCGTCTCATGGCATATTATCTTCGAGCTGGCACGTCGTGCTGGCTCGAACACCCAGCGTCGGCAACGTGGGCTAGAGAAGCTCCGTCATCATTCAAATGGGTACCCATGCAGGCTATTTGGTCGGCTCCATGTGCCTCCAGGACTGATTTCGACCAAGGCGAACATCAAGACCCTGAGACCTGCCCCTCCACTGTTGGCCGTGCTCCCGCAACCATCTTGTCGGTCCGCATGCCTACCTTGGCGGGCCTCGTGCAGTCCACTCCTGGGGCCGGCCGCTGTCCCCGTGGGCGCGGGTCGCACATGCCCCTTTTAGGGAAACGGTCCGACGGAGGTCTCAGAACGGCCTCGTAGAAATCCTATCCAAGCAGTCTCTGCAAAGCTATCGCTACTGCAATCGTATACTCTATAGTACTGCTGTAGTAGACGTGTGTGTGTGTGTGTGCTTTTTCACTGATGGAGGGCGGGTGGTTTTCAACGTGTGGTCCTCGCCTCAGCGCTGCGCGCATTCGTTTTGACAGTTTGCAACAGTTCCAAGGTTTTTTTTGAGCACGATTTACTGTTGCAAGGTCGCGACAGTCACGTTGGGCCCCGCAGAAGACGGCTGAGCAATCCGCGGCGCGAGGCGGAAATCAAAGCCGGGATCGCGAGTCATGGCCTACGGCCTACGTTCATATCTTTGTCTTATGCTCGCCCATTTTTCGTTGCTGTGTTTGTTTGTGTGTGTGTGTGTGTGTCCTGGTTGGCTCAGGTTTTCCGCGCTGTCTTTGTCCTTCTTCTTGACTGGCTGCCGCTGCCGCCTCCCAAGGGCGCCTTGCTTGCTGCATCGGCTCGGCACTGTCGCACTGATTCGTCTTCCCTCCCCGTTTCCTCTTCTTGCCCCCCTTTTTCCCAGTCCGCCCCCTGTCGGCTGCCCCCTCGTGAGCATTGCTGTCGATCCCGTATGGTTGGATCCAGCTTCTCCACTCCTCGTAAGCCTGGCCGGTGCTCGCGCTCGCTTGACCTTTTCTAAGCCGTGCCGCCGCGCGCATGTTCGCAGCGTCCAAAAGTATATGGATGTGTGCGTGTGTGCGTGTGTGCGTGTGTGTGTGTGTGTGTGTGTGTGTGTGTGTCTGTGTGTGTATTGTCTGTTTTGCTTGTGAGTTTGAGTCATGCCGCGCGGTCCCCTGTGGGTGGACCCGGCATGCGCCTGCCGCCTCTGAGCTGGCTTGCGCCCGCGCCCACTCCTCGGCTCTGGCCCGACTCGGCGCTGCGCGCGTGGCCGCGACGCTGCAGCGTGCGCGTGCTTGTGCGTTTGTGTTCGAAGGGGGGTCCTGTTTCCTCTCTGCCTGCCCGCGAGGACGACGCGACCGCGAGCCAGGCCGTCGCAGTGGCCAAGCAGGTCGTGGAGGCCTCGAAGAAGGTCGACGCGGAGTCCTCCGCGTCCGGGGCCCGGCTCTCCGAGGCTCCGCGGGCGGCCAGAGAACGTGTCGGCGCGGCCGGCACCGCCCACGGGACGGGGCGGTGACGAAGGTCGCCAAGCAGCAGGTCTTCGAGCCGAGCAGCACTTCCCAGAGGAGGGACGTGTGCCGACATGGCCTCTGTTCTCCTCGAAGTCGGGGTCAGAACGCGCCTAGGGGACGGACTTCGGAAGCAGCGGTATCGGTACTTGTTCTTTGCCCGAACTTCAGTGTCCCCTCGCATCATCGGTGTTCGGGTTGTCGTTGTTCTTCTCATTCGTCTCCTCGTCTCCCTCCTCCTCCTCCTTCCTCCTTCGTCTCCTCGTCTCCCTCCTCCTTCCTTCCTCCTTCCTTCCTCCTTCCTTCCTCCTTCCTTCCTTCCTTCCTCCTCCTTCCTTCCTCCTCGTCTCCTCTCCTCTTCCTTGTTCTCCTCGTCTCCCTCCTCCTCCCGCCCCTTCTTTCTGCGCGCTGGCTTGGTCGTCCCACCTGGGAGGAGCAGGGCGAGGACGGTCCTGCGACAGGGTTGCCCATCAAATGCCAACTTTCGCGGTCCCCAGTTGCCGCTCTTTGCACGGTGGCGCTCGTTCCCCAAACAGTGCTTTCACTTAGGGGCTTCTACTTTTAAGGAACTGGGCTGGCGTGATTGTCTGGAGGTTATTTTGCCGCCGCCGCCGCCCCGTCGCCGCCTCGTCACCACCCGTCGTCTGGGCCCGTGTGGCGGTCTGGGGGCTGTGTTGCCGCCGTCGCCGCCTCGTCGCGGCCTTGCATCGATTGCACCACGCAGATTGCACCACATAGATTCTCCTTTCTAAAAGAAGGATAGACTCTACCCCCCCCGGCGTTATCCGCCCCCCTCTCGGGTATGTAAATCATGTATGATTCTGACCACATGTCCATCCTAAATATGAACTTCCAATATCCCAGGGGGGCCGGTATCGGCCCCCCTGAGGTTCCTTGTGAAAAACACTTCGCGGGGACATCTTTTGTTCTAACATGAACTTTTTCGCGAATCCCTTGCAAAACATGGGACGAAGTGCACACGCGCGCGTCGTCGCGCGCGCATGCCGAAATCCTTCAAAAACCTTAGTTGTCGGAAGGATTTCGCAATCGAGTTTCCAAAACAACATACAAAACCACAGGGTTTCGCAACACTGATTTGCTAAAAAACGCTTCCGCGCGAGCTCTTACGAAATCTTAAGAAAACCATAGGTTTCCACGATTTTCACAACATGCTACCAAACGGGTTTCGCGCGCGCATGTCGAAATCTGTCGAACGCCCTTGCGCGTGTGTCGTCGCGAGAATCCTCTGCCAAAAATTGGACGAAGTGCAGACGAGCGCGTCGTCGCGCGCGTATGCCGAATTCCTTCAAACCCCATCGGTTTCGAAAGGATTTCAAAATCGTGTGTCCAAAAAAAATTCAAAAACACAAGGGTTCGCAACAGATTTTCAACAAAAGCGTGCGCGCGCGCTCTTGCGTCGTCGTCGTCGTCGTCGTCGTCGCCGTCCTCCCTCCTCCCGCGTCGTCGTCGTCGTCGTCGTCGTCGCCTACGTCGTCCTCTGTCTTTCCTCGTGCTCGTCGTCGTCGTCCTCTTTGCCGTCGTGGTCATTTTCGTCGTCGTTGTCGCCGTGGTCGTCCTTCCTCCTTCTCTTTCGTCGTCGTCGTCGTCCGTCGTCGGCGTCTCGTCGTCGTCCCTCCTATTTCGTCGTCGTCGTCGTCGTCGTCGTCGTCGTCGTTGTCGTCGTCGTCTTCCCTCCTCCCTCGTTGTCGTCGTCGGCGTCGCCGTCCTTCTTCGTCGTTCGCGTCGTCGCTGTCCTCCCTCCTCCCTCGTCGTTGTCGTCGTTGTCGCCGTCGTCGTCCTCCCTCCTCCCTCGTCGTCGTCTTCGTTGGCGCCGTCGTCGTCGTCGTCGTCGCCGTCGTCGGCGTCGGCGTCGTCGTCGTCGTATTCGTCGTCGTCGACGTCGGTGTCGTCGTCGTCGTCGTCGCCGCCGTCGTCGTCGTCGTCGTCGTCGTCGTCGTCGTCGTCGTCGTTGTCGTCGTCGTCGTTGTCGGCGTCGATGACGTCGTCGTCGTCGTCGTCGTCGGTGTCGTCGTTGTCGTCGTCGTCGGCGTCGTCACTGTCGTCGTCGTTGTCATCGTCGTCGTCGTCGTAGTCGTCGTCGGCGTCGGCGTCGTCGTCGTCGTCGGTGTCGTCGTCATCGTCGTCGTCGTCGTCGTCGTCGTCGTCGTCGTCGTCGCGTCGTCGAAGTCGTTGGAGACGTCGTCGGTAGCGTCGTAGTCGTTGTCGGCGGCGTCGTCGTCGTCGTCGTCGTTGTCGCTGTCGTCGTCGGCGTCGCTGTCGTTGCCAAGTGCCATTTGGTACCCACCGTCACGGTTTTAAGAGATTTTGCAAACCAAGTTGCGGGTGGGTGTGTGGGATGTTTGCGCGAGCAGTGGAGTGGACAACACTCACTGCGAACATAAGTTAATTTTCCTTTCTAGAAAAAGAATAGACTATACCCCCCCCCTCCCGGACTTATCGCTTCCCCCCTGGGATAGTATAATTTCATATATATATATATATATATATATTCTGCACACTCGTCCATCCTAAATATGAAATCATACCATCCCAGCTAGGCCGGGTTCCCCCCCCTGAGGTTCCCTTGTAAAAAACTCAATGCGGTGACATTTTTTGTTCTAACATAGTACTTTTTCACGAATCCCTTGCAACAGATGGGACGAAGTGTACACGCGCGTGTCGTCGCGCGCGCATGCCGAAATCCTTCAAAAGCTTTCGGTGCCGGAAGGATTTCGCAATCGAGTTTCCACAAGCACATACAACAACACATGGTTGCGCAACACTGATTTGCTAAAAAACGCTTCCGCGCGAGCTCTTGCGAAATCTTAAGAAAACCATAGGTTTTTCAAGATTTTCACCAAATGCTACCAAACGGGCTTCGCGCGCGCGCATGTCGAAATCTGTCGAACGCCCTTGCGCGTGTGCCGTCGCGAGAATCCTCTGCCAAAATTTGGACGAAGTGCAGACGAGCGCGTCGTCGCGGGCGTATGCCGAAAACCTTCAAAACCCATCGGTTTCGGAAGGATTTCAAAATCGTGCGTCCAAAAAACCTACAAACACCCAAGGTTTCGCAACACGGATTTTCAACAAAAGCGTGCGGGCGCGCTCTTGCGTCGTCGTCGTCGTCGTCGTCGTCGTCGCCGTCCTAGTCGTTGTCGTCGGTGTCGTTGTAGTCGGTCTTAACAGGTTTTGCAAACCAAGTTGCGGGTGGGTGGGTGGGATGTTTGCGCGAGCAGTGGAGATGACGACTTCAAGTTCAGCAGAGTGGTTTGCACCACATATATTCCACCACAGGGATTGCACCACATAGATCGCCGCACATAGATTGCACAATGTAGATCGCACCGCATATATTGCACCAGTATTGCACCACATGGATCGCACCGCATATATGGAATCACAACATTTGCACCATCTATTTCCCAACCCTCCCTTGGTTGGGTACTCGTTTTGAATAGAGCACTCTGGTCGCCCCGTCCTCCCGCCCACCTCCCTCCTGCCTCCTACCTCCTCCTCGCGGCGCCTTCTGGGGGGCTGCGATCTGCGCATCTGTCGCCTCGTGCGATCTTGCGCAACTGTCGGCACTTTCGTGGGCTCCTGGGAGGCCCACTTTCGTGGGCTCCTGGGAGGCCCAGCGGAGTGGGGGTGACACGCAGATCGCGCTGGGACCTCGCGGCTCCCTGCGGGGGGAGCTGCGATCTTGCGTAACTGTCGGCACTTTTGTGGGCTCCTGGGAGGCCCAGCGGAGTGGGGGTGACACGCAGATCGCGCTGGGACCTCGCGGCTCCCTGCGGGGGGAGCTGCGATCTTGCGCAACTGTCGGCACTTTTGTGGGCTCCTGGGAGGCCCAGCGGAGTGGGGGTGACACGCGGATCGCGTCGGGACCTCGCGGCTCCCTGCGGGGGGAGCTGCGAACTTGCGCAACTGTCGGCACTTTCGTGGGCTCCTGGGAGGCCCAGCGGAGTGGGGGTGACACGCAGATCGCGTCGGGACCTCGCGGCTCCCTGCGGGGGGAGCTGCGACTGCGCAACTGTCGGCACTTTCGTGGGCTCCTGGGAGGCCCAGCGGAGTGGGGGTGACACGCAGATCGCGTCGGGACCTCGCGGCTCCCTGCGGGGGGAGCTCCCTGCGGGTGGAGCTGCCAACTGCGCAACTGTCGGCACTTTCGTGGGCTCCTGGGAGGCCCAGCGGAGTGGGGGTGACACGCAGATCGCGCCGGGACCTCGCGGCTCCCTGCGGGGGGAGCTGCGATCCTGCGCAACTGTCGGCTTTTTTGTGGGCTCCTGGGAGGCCCAGCGGAGTGGGGGTGACACGCAGATCGCGCCAGGACCTCGCGGCTCCCTGCGGGGGGAGCTGCGATCTTGCGCATCTGTCAGCACTTTTGCGGGCTCCTGGGAGGCCCAGCGGAGTGGGGGTGACACGCAGATCGCGCTGGGACCTCGCGGCTCCCTGCGGGGGGAGCTGCGATCTTGCGCAACTGTCGGCACTTTTGTGGGCTCCTGGGAGGCCCAGCGGAGTGGGGGTGACGCGCAGATCGCGCCGGGACCTCGCGGCTCCCTGCGGGGGGAGCTGCGATCTTGCGCAACTGTCGGCACTTGTGGGCTCCTGGGAGGTCCAGCGGAGTGGGGGTGGCACGCAGATCGCGCCGGGACCTCGCGGCTCCCTGCGG